GGGGCCCCCCGGGGGGCGGGGGCGGCCGGCCGCTCGGGGATGGAGCGCTTATTCCCGCCGAGCCGCGCGCCCCTCGCGCTCTTGCATGCGTCGGTACTTGCGCGCGAGAGAAATCCAACTTGGCAAAAGCAGATCTGCCTAGCAGGAGATCTCACACTGATTTCTAAACTAATCTGCTTTTCTCTGTTATAACTTTTACAATGCCTTAAAATTAATGTTTCTCGTATTTTGTTTTTTAACAGATCTGTGAATGATCATGGGCTTGGCTTGACCTTGATTTTGATAGCTTTGCTGGAAGATGTGATGATGTGATTGCATTTCATGACAGTGATTGCTCTCCTTCCTCCCTGGCTTAGGGTGTAAGCCACCTCTGCCACAGTCACTGATGGACAATTCAGGTTTTTCTTTAAACAAACCTTTTGCCTTTTTTTTCACTTCTCACTTCTCCTTTCCCCCACGTTTCCCTGTAACATCAGGAGCCTTCTTCTGCTCTTTGAAGTAATCGATAACCCTGCTCCCCTCTGCTGATTTGTGTTTCAAAGTACCATGGCTCTAAGTGGCAATTGCAGGACTTACCTCCCCGCGAGAGAGCAGGGCCCGGGCGCGCTCTGCTTCCCGGAGGTGGTGGAGCTCAACGTGGGCGGCCAGGTCTACTTCACTCGCCACTCCACCTTGGTGGGCACCCCCCACTCCCTGCTCTGGAAAATGTTCACCCCAAAGAGAGACACAGCCAACGACCTGGCCAAGGACTCCAAGGGAAGGTTCTTCATCGACAGAGATGGTTTCCTTTTTCGCTATATCCTAGACTATCTCAGGGACAAGCAAGTGGTTCTGCCTGACCACTTCCCGGAGAAGGGGAGACTCAAGAGGGAGGCTGAGTATTTCCAGCTCCCGGACTTGGTCAAACTCTTGACTCCTGATGACATCAAGCAAAGCCCAGATGATTATTGCCACAGTGACTATGAAGAGGTCTCCCAAAGTAGTGACATGAGGATCTGCCCGCCCTCCTCGCTCCTGCCGTCAGATCGCAAGTGGGGCTTCATCACCATCGGCTACCGCGGGTCGTGCACGATTGGCAGGGAGAGTCAAGCAGACGCCAAATTCAGGAGGGTCCCAAGGATTTTGGTTTGTGGAAGGATTGCGCTAGTCAAAGAGGTCTTTGGAGAAAGTTTGAATGAGAGCAGGGACCCAGACCGGGCTCCGGAAAGGTACACCTCCAGGTTTTATCTCAAGTTCAAGCACCTGGAGAGGGCGTTCGACATGTTGTCTGAGTGTGGATTCCACATGGTGGCCTGTAACTCCTCGGTGACGGCTTCCTTCATCAATCAGTACACAGACGATAAGGTCTGGTCCAGCTACACTGAATATGTCTTCTACCGTAAGTACAAGAAATTCCCAAGGGAGGGATAAGTGTGTGTCCTGCTCTGTCTGCTCCTCTCTCTGTGTGTGTCTCAAAGCACCACCAGCCCAGGTTTCCTTCTCTCTGCGGGGACTGGAGCCCAGTTGTGCTCCAAGGGGAGATGCCGTGGTTAAAGCTTTCCATGGTACGCGGATGCTGAGCACAGCAGCCTCTTCTTGGCTAGGTGGCAGTACAGACTGCCAGAGCCGCCTGGGCTGGCGGTCCGCTCTCTCTAACTGGGCCATCTGACTGCGCACGCACTTGCCAGTGCGCTGGCTGCACTGCCAGCCCTGCAAATGCTGCGGGTTTCGTCAGAGAAAGTCTCCAGGTGAGGTTCATGTACAAAAGTCGTGGCTGCTTCTGATGGTTGAGCACAGGCGGCCCAGTCATCCCGCGGCAAACCTGGCTCACCCCCACGCAGGGAAGGGAAACCTAGATGCTGCCCCCAGCCGCTTTCCAGTGGGGGCTCTCGCCCTTTCCCCTCACGCTCAGAGCCAGCAACGTGCTCGAAAAGGCTGGGCGCGGCAGGAGGCAGGTTGCTGCATCCCGTTATGCAACACACCGTGCCAAACGAGCGCTCGTGCCCTGCTGGCTGCCACCGCTGCTGGGCACGTCCTGCTGGGGCGGTTTACCTGGTGGCTCTAGCAGCCTCATTAACTTTCTGAGTTGATACGCAGGTAGAGGCACCGTTACCAGTGGTAACATGAGGGTAATTTTGATTCCATGATTCTGTATCAGAACATCATTCCACAACTGCTGTACTTAAATATTCAAGAGGTTTGTGAGGCTGTTTTCATCCATCTTCATTTCAAGAGGGTGAAGGATAGAACATTTCCCGGGCCCATTTGTACAAACGGGCTTTTGCCAGCTGCTGCTCCGCATGGGGACGTTTCTACATGGGTGATAACTGCTTCGCCTGCAGACCTGCTGTGCCCTGTGTGCTCCTTACAGTTAGTCCGCCCCATAATGTGCAGGGTTGACAAAAGTTTTAGATGAAAGATGTGTCAGAAAGTGAATAGTTCATGCACTGTCCACTCCTATGCGAGGCTCAACAGGCAGCCCTAATCTGCTTATGTAAGGATGCTAGAGTCAGCGTTCGGAAAAGCCGTCTGCATTTCTGATATGCATAGATTTACTTAAAATTAGTTTTCTAGCTGGATTTCTCAGCAGATTAGTTCAGAGGTCTTGGATCCGCTTATATTCCGATTAAGGTGGATGGTTTCTGCAATTAGGCATCTTGCGTTTGGAACTGTAGTGTCTTACACAAGATGTAGCAGGAGAGGAGAATTAATGTAGTTAAAGGAATGGATAGGAGTAAATGGTGTTTACGCTAAAATCAGAAAGGATATGAATTATTTACAGTAAAAATGTTTAATAATTGAAGAGAGGCCCAGAATAGACGTTCCATGTTTTAATAAGCACAGACCTCTGATTTTCATATGGCTCGAGTTCTTTTCAAGGATTGCTGGTTGCTTCCGCATCATTACAATTAGTGCTGAGAGATGAAAGGCACCTCAGGAATTTTGGAGAGAGAAGAGGTGTAGTAGAGGTCCTGAGATCTTCCTTCACCAGTGCAATAAAAGCTCAATCCAATTAAAGTTCCTGGAAAGACTCTTATCTCCTTCAACAGGCTTTGAATTTGGCTCATCAATCCTGTGGCTTGCTGACATGATGGAGTGCTGTCACTGGATTTTTCCAAGGGTCCTTACCTGGGTGAAAACCACCCCCATGACTGTGATGCCAGCTCACTCTCCTATCTAAATCCAGGGGTGGCTGTCACGTTCGGAGCCTTTCGCCATGCGGAGTCGCGGGGTTGCGGGGCCGCTCCGGCGCATCCGGCCTGGCTGCGGGGCCCAGGCACCCCGCAGTGCAGCGCCGCGCCAAAGCCCCTGCCTTTGGAGCTCTGGGGGCCAGGGAGGTTGACATCTGCCTTTCCAGTGCAACTTCACAACCCAGCTGCTTAGCCATAATTTTTTAATTAGAAGCTGCCAGCTGTGCCTATATAAGCATTAATTCATCAAGCTGTTGTGATCAGGTTAATGGGCCTAGACACGAGAGGTGTCTAACACAACTTCGATATATGTCAAGGTGTCCTCTGCAGAGCAGCTTGTAGCTCCAGTGAAATACACAGTGGAGGTGCTCTTCGGAGCTGGGATTATTTGCAGAAAGAAGTAGGACAGAGGGAAACAAGTTCTACTGATACACCAAACACCTGGTACGCTCAGGAGCTAAACGCCTGTCGGTGGCATTAGGATAAAGAATGTTCTGTGTGTGCAGTCCACGTGAGAGATCAGAGGGACCAAAGGGGCTGTGCAGCTGCTTGCATGGGCACAGCGCATGGTGCAGTGCATGTGTGCAACGCACAGTGCATGGTGCAGTGCATGGTGCAGTGCACAGGTGCAGCTCGTGTGCAGCGCGTGTGTGCAGTGCATGGTGCAGCACACAGATGCAGCGCACGAGCACAGCACACAGCTGCAGCACATGGGTGCAGCACACGGGTGCAGCTCATGGTGCTGTGCATGGGTGCCATGCATGGTGCAGCATGTGCTGCTGACAGAGCAGCGTGCCTTGTGCTGTGCAACATTTCCTCCCCTTGCTCAAGCGTGGGTGCTATTAAGGCTGTGGGTTTTGTGCTCTCCATCGAGTGACATGTCCTGAAGGCAGCATGGTGCCCTCGGCTCCACTGCCCTCTTGCAAGTCCAGTGCAGAGGAATGCTGAGGACATCCATGCTGGTGGCACTGGGGACTGTCCGTGCTGGTGGCACTAGCCACGGTTCATGGTGGTGGCGCTGGGGATGTCTGTGCTGGCGGCACTGGGGACGCTCCGTGCTGGCAACACTGGGGATGTCTGTGCTGGTGGCGCTGGGGACAGTCCGTGCTGGTGGCACTGGCCATGGTTCATGCTGACAGCCCTGGGGACTCCGTGCTGGCGGCGCAGTGCCTGGTGCAGGGGCTCTTTGAAGGCCGCCCCGCTCGGGCAGGCCGGGATCCCGCAGTGCCGCGCGGCTGCAAGCTGCGGTTGTGCTCCTGTGTCTCCTGGCTGCTCTCCTGCTCCTCCACGCCAGGGAAGGGTGCTGAGGTTTCTTATCAGCAAGGCTGGGTTCCTGACTTCAGCACGTACATTTTTATTCTCTCTCCTGTTTCGACGATCTTGAAGCAGAACTTCACCTCCCAACATTTTCATTTTTGAAGACAGTGATAGCCTGCGCTTGGATCATCCTTTTTAAGCATGTCCAGTCTTTAGCATGGGCTGAATCAGTGTCTGTTAAATGTGACGGATTTGAACCAGTGGCGCGGAGGCTGCCTGGGCTTTTTCAGCGTGGTCCTGTCCCCGCAGCAGCCACGCTGCTGGCGGCCCCTGCGTGGCTGCAGGCTGCTGCTGCCCTGCTGGCGCCGTGGGGCTGCAGTGCACGAGGGATGAGGCCAAGTGGATGGGCCCGCACCGCTCTGCCCCGCAGGGCCTGGCGACGCCTCCGGTCCCGCTGCTTGTCCGTGGCCGCTCCTGCAGTGGCTGCTGAAGCCCTCGTGGTGCAGGGGGAGCAATCAATCCTGCTGTGCCCCGGGTGCCACCTTGCCTTCCCTCTGCACAGCTGCAGGCAGCGCCGGGCGGAGCAGCCGGCCCTGCGCTCTGCTCCAGCATGGACACGCAGGAGCGCAGGGTGCCCATGAGCGGGGGACGCGCGTGGCGAGGCACAACCGGGGCAGGAGCTTGGCCTCGCGGGAGGCTGGAGCAGGCCGCGGCAGGACAGCGGCTGCTCCCAGGCACCGCGGCAGGATTCAGGAGTTGTGTCGAGCTTGTCCCATATGTCCGTTTATCCCACATCTCACAACCACTGGATTGAAAGGGCTTGATGAAGCACTGCCAATTCACTAAGGAGGTCGCTGTGCCTGTCACTGGCCCATGGGTGAGGCCGGGAGAGGCTGGCCGGAGAACATGGCGTGTGGCACTCACGGGTCCCCTCAGACTGCTGGAGAGAGAAGATAAAATTACCTGTTTTTCTCCCCATTTATACTGATACTCATGTATTTTCTAATAGTTGGTTCTGTGTGATTTTAAATCAGTCAAGATCAAAATGACCCAACAGGTTAAAAAACCTCAAATCCAGTGAATAATATAATATTCAGTTCCCATTGATATGAGGTGTATCTGTTTCCAGAGAATTTTTGTCATCACCAGTGAATCTGGTCCATCGTGCCAAATACACATCTCCCTAAACTCCCAGAGGCTTCTCAGCTGCACTTCGTGGGAGTGGAGAGCAATTAGCCCGATCCGTTAGCAGATTTCTGTGAGTCACAAGGACCTTGCTCATGGGTCTCTTGATGAGACTGGGTGGTGGTTGGATTTTTTCCAGTTTGCCATACCAGATTGAAGCTTGCCGAGCGTTCTTAGAGGCGCTCTGTAGGTGACAAATGCTACAAAAGCAATTATTTATTAGAAATCAGTAGTGTTGAGTCCAATTATTAGGCCTAAAGTCTTCAGCTCGGTGGTTAACTGAAGCCAAACTTGGCAAAAAGGGCACTTTGCTCACCTTACCTTGAAAGGGTGCAGGAGTTCATTCCCCCAGTGTATGAATGGGGTTGTTGAGGACAAGCGAGGCTGGCCCTGGCGCCGGCCTCTGCCTGGCCGGTGCCCTCTGCGCAGCCGTGTTTCCGTGCGCCCCTCTCGGCGCCATCCTCGTTGCTGGGAATGCTTGGCAGGAATGTCGCGGCTCCATCACCGTGCCGCTCTAGGATAGCACTGAACCGTGCAGAAGCTCCGGCTGCTGCCGCACCTGCTGTGCTCCTCGGGGGATCACTGCAATGTGAGACGTACAGCAGCGTGGCCTGAGCTCCCTCTCCTGGGGTTCGGTGCTGAAGGCCGGTGACACGAGTGACGGACCGGCTCCGTGTCCGCTCAGTCACGCTGGGGGCCGTGGGGCCGGGGCAGCGCTTAGTCCTCGCTGCAGTGCTGATGAGATGTTGGCAGGCTGCACTTGGCG